GAGATCACATCAGGGAAGAGCAGTAGAGGAATCATAGCGGAAATACAGTAGTGCAGATAGATACGTTTATTCAGGTAGTGTTTGGAACTTGCACAGTTTTGTTTCTGTTTGCTAATCAGCAGAAGATACGAACTACTGCTGGAATGCAAGGCTTTTTAAATTAAAAAGACCACAATTAAACTAAATGTGCCACACCTCAAGATAATTAGATGCTGTGAATAGTGTTTAGGTAACCTTAGGAACTCATGTATGATTTCCAAAGTGAATTAAGGACTAAATTTACTTATACATTTTTCACTTGTTTTCTATCATATAATAGTTAACTTAATCAGGAGAAATGTTCGTACTCATTTACAAATGTGGTATTGCCTAAGAAAATACATGTACAGAGCACCATCTAGTGCAGATATCGCTAACATAAAAGCCTTTCTGCTCATATGTGACTTGTCTGTGTTTAGTTAATTTAGTATGAACTATCATGTTGCAGAAAGTGCCAGACCAGTGGCTCCTGTGGCAATATAATTTTGCAATTACATGAGAGACCATGGATTGAAAATTACTTGGGACCTTTTGCAAGGACAACAAAACTGGATGCACTGAAATTCAGGTAATCATTTGTGAGAACCATATACTTCTAAGAGGAATCTGCTTATCTTCCTGCCCAGAGTGTTGGGTGATATATTCATTAAATAATTCAATCCAATCTGTTTATAAACTAGGTTGGACACTGACTCTAACAATAGATTTAGAGACCCAACTGCCATTTTAGGTGCCTTAAGCACATCATTTACCTCCTCAGAGACTTTGCTCAGCTTCTGCAGAACCTCAGAGCTACCCAGGTGCCTTACAGGCATGCAAACCACGACTAACAGGCAAGGTTAATGATCTGAGTGTCATTAAGAAGGGAAGAAAAGAAGAAACGAAGGAAGCTTAGATTCCATAAGAGACAGGTAAAAGAAACTTATACATAGGTATTTATGAGTTGCTGAGGAAGGGTGGAAAAAAGTGAGCTATGGGTGTTTTTTGCAAAGGCCATATTTTGGTTCTTCTGCAAGCAAGCAAACATATGAATTTGGCCCCAGGGTTGTTTAATCAATGTTTGGATATCAACATTATGTTTCTGATGCCATCTATTTAGCATTAGGGTAGGATTAAGAAGAACTGTCTTAGTTAACTGAAGATGTAGCAATGACAAGCTGGATTTCATCCTGCACTAAACAAAGGTTTTGTATTCAACAAAAAACTAGTTAAGCATCAAAGAGCCATTATCACTGTAATGTTTTACATTCTCTTTGAAACTAACAGAAAAGGGTAATTCCTCTCTCTCTGAGCATACGTTGCATACAGATTTTGGCTGAATGCTTGAAACCTTCCTGATTTCCAAATTCTCAGACCTACTCTGAGCAAACGGCAAGCATATGCTCATATTAATTTCAAAGTACTTCCTGGTTTTGAGTTGCTCTGTGTTTTGCTTTCTAAGTTGATCTCTTAATAGACAATTTTAAAAAAAAAGAAATAAGTGGAAATTTTTGAAAATTTAGATGCAGGATACTTCCCTGGATACTTTTCCTGGTCTTTCTACCTCTTTTACAACTGCCAGAGAGAACCTACTACTGAAGAAAAGCTGAATTTTTGTTCTTTTTGAGCTAATGAGGTGTAAACTGAAGGAACATGACAGGAATGTTCACAGACCTGGCAAGCTCTGGTTCGATTCACCTTTCTGGGTATACCATTTTGCTAACAGCAAGGAGAAGTAGCTTTGACGGAACAAAATGTTACACTTACAAAAGGCATTCAAGAATTGGTGTCAGGAGTAACAGTTTTGAGAATGGTGGGGAGAGGTAGGCTCTAGCTAGGCAGTAGAGGCTGAAGAGAAGAGTCTCCACTGGAAAGAGATAGGCCAGACAGCAGTACCTCAACCCTGTCAATGCATACTAGACATTCTAAGGAAAACAAATCTTGTAGCATATCAGGCTCTTTTATTGCTCATTTAGTTCACCTGAGCTTGTGGTTTCCATTCTTTTAATCTCCAATACGTTTAGCAAATGGAAAAAAACAGATAACTGAAAATATAAAGGGGTTTCTTTTGAACAAATGTCACCAAAGATGCATTTTTGATTACACGTTGCTGGTAGCTATCATTATGCTATTTATTAAATCATGACTGACAAAACATCTTCCTTGTTATTTCCTTGATTATTGTTCTTCTTCTGTTGGGTTATGATTTGTATCAAATGGTATGTATTCATTTTCAGCTATTGGGGAGTTATGATGTTGTTCTGTCTAATGCCTGAACAAATAAACTGGCGTTGGTTCTGCTATCTTGTGAGAATAAAGACTACCTTAGAACATGTTCATACATGTTGAGGAAATAAATTAATACAAACAGGCAAGCCAGGCAGAGAAAGAATTCTCTTCCAAGCTGTACTCTCTTGTCTAGTAGCTATTTAAACTTGCCTTTTGGAAATAAAGGGTTTGTTTAGTTGAGAACAATTATATGACCATTTTGAATTACAACAATTTCACATGTTTTTTATGTGCCAAAAGGATTTATTACAAAAAGAAAGGCCATAGAAAGATGGTGGGAATTAAATACTGTATTTGCATATTGCTAAGCAGTATGCTAGATGCTTTTCAAACAGCTAGGGTATCAAAGTCCTTGTTCTGAAGAGCATTCAGTCCAAATAAACATATAAATGCATTATAAGATGTACAAAGAAAGATTTGATCCTCCATTTTTTCCAATAGAGAAAGGGAATCAAATTTTACATCAGAATATGACAAAAGCACCCCAACTGAGCTGAAAGATTTAATTCGCATTCTCGTAAGTAAAGAGGATGGATTTATGCTGCAGCAAGCAAAAAAATTACTGCAGACTTTATGAGCACAATCTGTACATGTTAAGAGTCTTTTTTGTGTGCTAGAGATCCAACTTTGCTGTACTGAAATCTTCCATGTCTTTTATTTAAATTATGTGGAATATGATCTGTCTTGATACTCTCCAAATACATGAGCTAATCTTTCCATTTTCCTGTGAAAAACTAAGGGTATTTTTACAATTTCTACATAATGTCATCAATGTTTTTGCAAAAATTAAATCCTTTTCCTCTTAGAGTAGCAAAAGAATTTAAAAATCATGATGGGAAATACTGTACTTACAGCATCTTTTTAAACGACTCCAAAACTTATATCATGTTATTAATGACCCATACCTACAGATCTGATCATAGAGTTACACAGGAACCCATTTTAAATTCTGTAATAAAACTGGATAAAAATACATAGCAGATGTTCTGTTTTAATGTTGAAAGCTGAATCTCTCTCTCTCTCTCTCTGTAGGTAAGTATACACATACATACATACCCACACATACATAGGCTGATATGCCTTCCTGTCAGATACAGAATTTAATTTGGTTTAACTGATTAAACAACGTTCCAGATAAGCAGCTGTAGAGCCATCCATTGGTCCTCTCATGCAGGGGTACAGGGATGTGCTAAAGGCTAGAAATCTCTAGCACAGTATCTATTGATATATCAAGAAAAAGACTGGATTATCTAGAATACCTGCTATTACCACAAAAAGCACAGACCTCAAAATCCCTATACTGCAGATTTTTATCAGCACCATTTTTACCTGATAATGTTCTTTTTAGCTGCCTGAACCCCTTTTTTTTTCTCTACTTAATTCCCCTTTTTGGTTTAGGTGTAGTCTGATATATCTTATTGAGTGAGATTGTTTCATATGAACCTCTTTTCCCGCCCCGCCCAGTTTTCTACACATCCTCTCTCCCTTATTCCATGCAATTCTTCCAAGGATTCTTGCAAACTTTTGGTTTTGAAGGATGAAAATGGAAGGAAAAATGGCCATGCAGGGAGTTATCATTCAGCTGACCTGTGTTCATATCAATGTAGTTATAAACTGACTGATAGATTGCCAAAAGTTAGTTTCAATTATGTTAAGCTTGATTGAAACTGGCTGCCACGTTCAAAAACTGTATTTGAACAGAGGGAGAGAGACTGGCAGTCCAACCACAACAGCAAAATTATTTTAGGAAAGCAGGGAAGTAAAAGTGCCCAAGTTTGGCTCAGATCCATGTGTTTTTTAAAATCTTCATTTGCATCTGCTCAGCAGAAACGGATTGCATTTCATCAGATGGCTTTCTACTGAGTGTTCCTATCCTCCCCATGGCGGCAAGCACTAATCAGCAATTCTTGTAATTACTGTCTGTTAGAGGCTATTGTAGTACTAGGCACGATAGCCAGGGGTAGGCAGAGTCTCTCTTACAATTTTTCTTGTACAAGAAAAACATGGATCTGCAGCTTGAGAAGGGGAAAAGCCCAGGGAGCCAAGACAAGCACATAGGAAAAGGAGAAGATAAAAGGCTTAGAAGCAGAACCACTTTGAAGTGACTGAAGAGGACATTCGAATTTGGAGAGTTGTGGAGTCAAACAGATACATAAAGTAAAGATTTATAGAGTCAAGTACTAAGAACCTCTAAAATGCCAGATTTTAGTTGCACATGAAATACACTTCCCTCTACACCGGCATTATGTTCAAACTGCAGTTCACATTAAAATTAGTTGCAGCTTTTGTTATTTAGCCTTTTGGTAAACTCCAAATGTCAATACATTAAAGTCCAGGTTTTGTTACCAAATGTTACCAAAAAAAAAGGAAGGTGTAATGGTTACCAAGAAGAAGGAGGGCATAATACCGACCATCTAAAAATGTTAGATTGAAATGATGTGATCAGCCCTCAAAATGCTTCAGCAACAACAGACAATGCACTTCCGTATGCTGAATTCAATTGATTCTAGCCTAATAGCATTCCTTCGCTTCCTTCAGTTCCCTGCCTCATTCTTTATACTTTTTATGTGTGCTATGTACACAACACATGCAACAAATAAATCGAAGGAATTTACAGGCAACTCACTTCTAAAGCCTTGAACCATTCCAAAGAAACTATGTTCCATCCACTGATTAAACCAGCCTTACGCTTGTATTTAAATAGTTTTTTGGTTGTAATAAGTACAATTCATTTTTATTTTTGAGACAACAGAGTGACAATACTGTTTTTTTAAAAGGGGAAAGGATTCGTAGTTACTGCAGAAGCCAAAAATTCTCCATGTTGATAAAAACGTCCTCATTCCTAGGTGAACACCTCCCTTTTTAAAAAAAATGCCATACACATACTAGCACTAGTATTTGTATCTACAGATTATAGGTCAGATTGTCTTCTCATTTACATTTCATAAAACTACTGATTGCAGAGGAATTATTCCAGATTTATATATGTATTTAAGAAGAGCAAAAATCTGCCCATCTGTTTTAAATTCAGATTGATTTGCTAAAAGATTAACTCGATAAATCGTCTTAATAAAATACTTAAACAATATTAGGTTCAAAGTCTGCTGGTCTGACCTTCATGACAACAGATTTCAGGGAATACCACCACCCATGCCAAGTGTACCAAACAATCCCGTTGTCTGTCTTTGCAGTATAGGGGCCTTTGTAGTACAAACCGTTCAAGTTGGCAGAGTGACACCTGGTGGAAAAGTAAAGGAAAACAGAAATAAGGCCGCTTGTGGAAAAGTCGCAAGCATTTCTAGTTTCTCTGTGAGTGAAAAGTTTCACCATGTTGATAACAGCCCAGTTTGACAGCTGCAAAAATTTGCATTTGTGGACTTCAGTGCGCCTAAACAATAACAGTTTAATTAGGGGACAACTGCAAGTGCCCTTAGCTTCTTTGAAACCAAAGTTCTTTTTTGTTCTTTCTACACGTTTTCTGACATTACCAGCTCTCAGCATGCCTGCTTATCTGTTTCAGTGGAGAATTACTCCAGAGTTGTTCAGGTCATGTGTGACAGCAAGGCATACAACAAGCAAAACTCTGGGAAAGAAATACCGCTCTGCTTTTTATTGTCCCAGAGTAACCCCTATTAAGTTTTGCAGTTACCCCACATAGTGTTTTGTATGACAAAACCTGACTACCACCATCAGTTTGCCTATTCAGCTGTGGAGTTCTATTTACAAGAACAGAAAATCTGACTGCTAATTAAACATATATGTACCAATGCACTGGATCATTGGAGCTGGCATTTTATTTGACTAGATTAAGTACTTTTTTTGGTGGTGTCCTTTAACACACTGAAGCAGAAATGCTGCTGCAGTTTATTAAATACAGTGGTCAAAACAAGCAGACACCCCCCACCCCCAGCAAAACCCAAAAGGCTTTAATAGGTACCAGCACAACCTCGATACTCATTTGGTTTCTAACAAGACAGACATTTAGATCCTTATGTGACCATATGGAGAGCAAAACGATTGTTTCTCCTGCAGCACATTGTAATGCATCAGCTCGGTTTATCTGCCAATTCAGTATTCTAAGTGCTTGCTAATATCTAGCTGTCGAGCACCACGATGGATTTCAGAAACAGACTTCAGAAAATATGCAAACAGAAAACAGTCCAAACGAACCTTATGGATATTATTACTGGCAAATCTTAGTCTCTTCAGCTTTGCTTACACTTCATTAACAACAGTTTTTGAGAACTGAAATAAAAACTGTGATAAAAGCGTCACAGGAGATTTCTCATATATATGCTTATTTATTGCTTACAATTTTTAAGCTCAATTTTGATGATGTGTTGGTTGAAAGCTTATAAACTGCAGATACCAAAAGTGATTTTGAGAACTACAAACTTGTATCAGAGCTGACATATCTTTCTAGCCACACAAATTCTGTGTTGAGCAGGCACCGTCTACTTTGAGTCAAAACATTTCATTAGAAGAATCATAATTGCTAAAAAGTATCTAGATCAACTGAACCCCTTCTTTACTTCCTTTGATGGAAGCAGGCAAAACACAATTTTGTCAACAGCAACATGAGCCAGTAACAACTCTTAATTAGTGCTGGGAGGCACTAATAGCAAAAATATATACAGTATTCTGTAACCGACTGGATTCTGTCTGAAGTAACCAGACATACTAAAGAAACAACTGGTATGTGATTATTGATATGATATTCTGAAGCAACATTCATTATTCAAGTCAATAAACACCTTAAAGTTAGCCTATGTTCCTTCCTTTCTGTTAGGCTATTTTTTAAAGTAAAAAACGGCACTGCAATAGTTTCAGAAGTACAGTCAACCCTCAATTATCCCTAGACATTTTATCTGAAGTATATACTAACTGTACAACAGACGCAGAGAAATGGAGCTGGTTCCCTGAAGAACTGTTTGAATTCTGCCTGGACATACTGACTCCCTTACAGCCAGGATGTAGCCATGCTGTCTGCAGGATGACTGGTGAGGCAGGAAGCCCAAGTTAGTGAGATACGTGGCCACAACTTGATGCCTGGCAGATCTACTGTGATCATCCCTGCGTGGTGTAACTAAAACAGGGAGTACTGGGGAGAGAATGAGCTCATGTCCAACTAGACTTGTTAGCTGTTCTTTTACAGTTATGAACCTATTGACCTTTGCAACACCCTGGATACAGGAGAGCTTATGACCTGGGTGTAGTACCAGCGTGAACCCAGCTCTGTGGATTTGCATCCAAGCTGAAAATCCCTTCTACAGCTTTGCTCACAAAAGAAGGCAGAGAGGCCATTTTTCTGCAGAAGTCCAGGATAACAAGTGCTGAGCTGGAGCAAGACCAGTGGCTCTAAACTAGATCTGAGCTACTTCCATGTGGCCTCACTTGTGTCACATCCCTTGGTATTCATATTATCTGGGCGTTTCTGTATTTCATTAGTCCAGATAGCATAGAGCTGGCTATAAAAAATTCCTTCATAGCTGGGAGCTCAACCATAGCTGGGAGCAAACCAGCCAAGAGCACTAATTCCTTCTATGTTTGCTAATCTGTGCATGATAAATAAGTGTTCTGAGTGCTTTCGTTTCTCTGCCAGTACTGTTCTTTCAGGCAGCATTTAAGGATACTGACATTTTCTAGTATTTTTCAGTATTCAATTTTATGTTAAGCTTAACACTAAAAAGTCAGTAGCAAGGCAGTGGGAATAACACTATTAGTAACTCGTTTTCATTACCCAGATAGACTGTCACTTTAAGAGCATGAGCTACACAGCCATACTAGGAACTAGCCTGGTAGGAGTCAGCTATCTTTTGTAGCTACATAGCACCAACGACAAGATACTAATAACTGTCAAGTTCTTACTTGACATACAGCTTTTTGGCAAAAAAAAAAAGTTTTTAAAAGACAAAAAATGTATGCAGTTGATGAAAAATAGTGATTCACTCTTAATGAACTCCATGACATGGTATCAGAGTTTCATGCTACTTGAGGACTAGATATTCCTCTAAATCCACAAAAGTTCTGATTTCAGCAGAAAAGGATCTCCAGCACAGTTGCCTTTCCCTTTTATATCTTAGCTTTTGTGAGAACTGCAAAAAACCTTCATCTACGTGTGATTTTTTCCATGTCTCAAACATTCTGCTGACCCCCTATCCATGCAAATATATTAAAATGTATTAAAATAAGTGATTAATTGTGAAACACTGAGTTAGGAGCTACATCATATCAGCTAGGGTGGCCACAGACTACTTAGGGAAACAGAATTTGGAAAACAAGGAGTTAAAAGACAGAAACAAAGGATGACACAACAGAGAGAAACAATGGAGTTGATCTAGCCTGGCAGTTCTTGCCAAGTGAACTGAGATCACAGTGAGAGAGTAGTATGCTTTCCTGAGTTGTATTTTAAACCTCTTTATTACACAGCTAGATTGCATAGTTTCTCTTCATGGCTATATTTATCTAATTAATTGAGGGAAAGAACATAGCTGCCTATAGAGACAGTGCTAAGGCTACCAGTTTTATCCTTTCTTTTTTAATTGGTGTTTTTGTATATAAGCAGGATTTTACAATTCTTTTACTGAACCCTATTTTAAAAAGTCTTCCTCTTGGTCCAGCCATGTTCGCTGACAGGAGCTGAGTGGATGCATTCACATCTCAGTATACAAGGAATAAGAAGAGTGAGAAGCTGTGAACTGAGGTGGAAAAAATGAGGCTTAATAACCTGGCACTAGCTTAACTTGTCAGATATTCTGCAGTACTGCCACATCTGGTCTAGTGCGACGCAAGAGAAATGCAAGAATGAAGTACAACAGGGATACATCTGCAAACTCTGCATGACCTACTTGTGTAAGAACTGGTTACCTTAAAGGGACAGAAATATCTTCTCCTTACTGTCTGATAACAAGGATGACCAAACCCTGTGGCAAATACTATTATCACAGAGCAGCTTGATCTGTGCAGTAGGTACTGTCCCTTCTAAGGTCTTAGTCTTACTAGCACTGAGATCTCTGGAAGGTGTCAAGGGCAGGCTGCAAATATAATAAACAATGCCAATCCTATCTTCTACCATATGTTATTATTGTATGAACACATATGAAGCAGAATAGTTGACAATACTGATATAAAATCAAAATACCTGTTAAACCACCAGCCAGCCTTCTCCTCTTCAGCACAGTTCCCTTCATAGTTGTCATTGTCCCTGTCTCTAGTACTGAATTTCATTCCTTGATGATCGGCCCACCATTTTACTTCAGGATGAAATCCACCAGTAAGGGAATCACCAGCTGTACCAGAGTATTCACCACAACTCATCTCATAAGAATGCTAATGAAAAATGTGAAGAAAGGAAATAAAAAAGAAAAAAATTTCCAATATGTCTTTAACATTTAGCATGTCAGAGAGTGAAACCACAAAGAAGAAACTAATCTGTTCCATTTACTACTATTTTTATGCTCAGAAATATCATGCCACTTAAACATTGTGTACTAGATAATGAAAGGGTGTAAAGATGTTTACCAGGGGTAAAATTTGTAAATAACCTTACGTACAAATGATATAATAAAAACAATATTAGAGTTAGTTTGCAGTACATATTAACAAATCAGAACAACATGTACTGTTAATGTTGGTAATACCAACAAAAATAGAAAAACTGCTTTTATCCATTGCTGCTAAACCAAATGATTCGTACACCTTACAGACAGTGTGACATTGATATATCAATGTAAACCACTATTATTATATATTTGAAAATTCCAAGCATTTGTAAGAAAGAAAATATGATAATAAGGTTCTACATAAACCTTTATGAAAACCTGTATGTTTATTGCCTGTCCACAGAATCCACATTTTCATTAAAACCTCTAGTCATTATTTAATATTTTATTACCTCTTCATCTGCAACACTGAATCTTGCATATTGTGCAAAACGCCGTTCTCCTTCAAAATCAGTTAGATCAATTCTTAAAGTATAGTTCCCTTAAGAAATAACAACACAAATTGTTTTGGTTAAACTAGCCTATCTCAATACTTTTCAGAACAGAGTATTATAGTAGAAGATTAAAATACTAACTATGTTTTTATCATGAACCTCATCTCTAAGATCACAGCATATTTTATGGATTTTTATCTTATTTCTTTACCCATATTAAAGCATATCTTGCTATTTTTTGTCTTTATTCACCTGATTCAGCTTAAAAACATTTTAGAATTATTCCAATACAGATTTTCAAGTGTAGACAAAAAAAAAAAATTTAAAAAAATGGTCTTATGGGCTTTATGTTTTAGTAAGGTATTTGAGGTGGTAATGAAAGGATAGTGAGAATCACTCAATAAGCATACACCTAAGAAAATTAGATTTTTATACTCTGAAGATAGAAGAGTTAATCTAGGACCACATCTTGGTGGCACTGATTTCCAGCTAATTAGCTGGCTAAGTCAATGGGTAAGTTTTGTATAAGCAGCATTCTACAGCAAAGCAGAAGTTATCTTAGATTGAGTGACTATTAGAAAGATGGAAATAGCTTTCTAAGTCTAGCCTAATCAACAGGACAGGCCTAGATTTACCTTCATGTAATAGCCCATGCAGCCATGTAAAACCCTGATTAAATGAATTGGTATAGCATAGTATCTGACTCTGGACTGTTAGTGATGCTGGCTGTGAAATGGGCAGAGACAATTCTTTTAAGGTATACTCCTGTCTACTGTTCCCTGTTTTGCAGGGGCTCCCTGCATGCCATTGGCCCAATGGCACTTTTGAACCTTTTGTTAGAAAACATATATTCAAGTGTGTTTTGTTCTGAAACTTGGAGAAGTCCATGCAGACTAACAACAGAACTCAGGATTTATGCTAACAAAAAGGGTAACAAAAAATGGCCTGGAAAGAGCAAAGAAACAGAAACAATAGAAAACTATCATTACAATACAAATCTTACCTTGATTAGTCAAATAATGAAGATTTTTATTTCCAAGCCAATATTCACCATTTGTCAAAACAAAATTTCCAAAGCCTTCTTCATAGTCAGTCCAGACTCTGAAAAGAGTATAAATTATTAATTTATCAAAAAATCAAGTTTGCTTGGATGTTTATTTTATCATACAATCATAGATCACAGAATAATTCAAAATGGAAAGAACCTCAGGAGGTAATCTAGTCCAATGTCCTGCTCAAGGCAGTCAGCCATGAGATCAGAGGAGGTTGCTCAGGGCTTGTCCAGTTGGGTCTTGAAAAACTCCAAGGATGGTGACTGCACATCCTGTTTGGGCAACCTGATGACTATTCTGACAGGGAAAAGGTTTTTCCTTATATCCAGTCTGAACCTCTCTTGTTTCAACTTATGTACTTTGTCTCTCATACTCCCACCAGACAACACTGTGAAGAGCCTGTTTACTCAATGAGGTCTCAAGCTGCTCTGTTTTCCTCTGACCTCCTTGTAGGCACAGGCAGGCTACTATTAGGCTCTGCTGAAGCCATCTCTTCTCTGAGCTGAACAAGCCTTAGCCCGTCCTCATAGGGCAAGTGCTCCAGCCTTGATTGTCTTGGTAGTCCTCTGCTGAGCTCTTTGTAAGTTCACAGAATCACAGAATCATTAGGGTTGGAAAAGACCTTTCAGATCATCAAGTCCAACCATCAATCCAACATCACCATGCCCACTAAACCATGTCCTGACATGCCACATTCACATGTTTTTTGAACACTTCCAGTGATGGTGACTCCACCACCCCCCTGGGCAGCCTGTTCCAATGCTTGACCACTCTCTCCGTAAAGAAATTTTTCCTAATATCTAGTCTAAACCTCCCATGGCGCAACTTGAGGCCATTTCCTCTCATCCTATCACTAGTTACTTGGGAGAAGAGACCAATACCCTCCTCACCACAACCCCCTTTCAGTTAGTTTTAGAGAGTGATGAGGTCTCCCCTCAGCCTCCTCTTCTCCAGCCTGAACAACCGCAGTTCCCTCAGTCGCTCCTCATAAGACTTGTTCTCCAGACCCCTCACCAGCTTCACTGCCCTTCTTTGGACACACTCTGGCACCTCAATGTCCTTCTTGTAGTGAGGGGCCCAAAACCGAACACAGTATTCAAGGTGCGGCCTCACCAGTGCCTAGTACAGGGGCCCAATCACTTCCCCATTCATTATATATCAGAACATTAATAAACAAATACTTTAGACTTTATTATCTTATTTACATTGTTGATCTTCACAGAATTCTTTCTATTTCTCACATGTGAAAGGCTGAATCCCATACTACACTGGTCACTGAATCCCAGTCCAAAGAGTAGTCCTAAGAGGTACATTCAAAGTGGTTTAAGATTAACAGATTTTAAGACCAGAAGAAGACACATTAGCTCAGTCCAATCTCTGGTATAGCACAATTTACCCAAAGTTAAAAAATTTTTCCTGGCTAAATCCAGGGGATCTAACTGAATGTGCAGGTATATCACAAGCACTGTTTCTTTACTTTGTATGGTTTGATTAAGCTGTGAAACTTCTGCAGCTGGATATATAATTTTGTAAACTGAGGTAGTAGCTAGCCATTTCCAGCTTTGACTTATTAACTGATTCTAACAAATTTTCAACTCATACTGGTGCATAGTTTCAAGAATTAATGTATACACTGAAAGCATTGAATCTTTTCCCTGTCTACAGTGGCTTTGAAACACTTTATCAGTAGTTTTGGTTTCATGACGTGTTCTAATGGCAACAAAAATATGATCTATTTCCTTGGTGAGAAGAAACCATACTTCAATCAATGGATGAAAGTATTAGGCTGTGGACTGGCAGTCATAAGAGAAAGCAGCCTCTGTGAATTAAGTAGCTGGTTGTCTCCAGCAAGGGAGAAGAACAGGTGGTGTGTGGTGGTTAACAACTGTAAAATGCCACAGGTTGTTTCTGTAAGTTTTCTTGGCTGGACTGCAGTTTTTCATCCTCTCTGGGGGTCGCTTCTTTATTTCATAAGGGTATTGTAAAGTTAGTTACAGAAATTATAAACATGGGTAAGACATAAAACCACAGAAGGATGCAGATATGTGGAAAGCAAATTGGGCAAAGCAGCTGTTCTAAAAACCTTCTTGTTGCTTCTAATATCTGTAAATATTTGTGGTTTTTTATATTCAAGTCTCACAGCACAAAAAATTTCACTTCTGGATGTTTCCCAAAAAATGCTTGAGTCTTGGCAAAGGTGAGGAGGTTAAGTGTCCACAAATCAAGCTCTCACCCGTCTTATCTTTCCTGGAGGCATTTTACCATAAGCTACAAATTACAAATTACAAAAAGTGGGTTTCTCTCATACTTGTTTGCTGATGGTATTTTGGTTCAAGCAGATTGCTTACTTTTGCTTTTACTTTTTTAGATTTTTACTATTTGCAAAAGACAAGGTAGTCCTTTACTTGTCATTAAGAGTTCTTGCTCCAACAATTGTTAATGCATTTGACATTGAAGTGTCCTTATGTAAAATGCACAAGATGTCAGAGAAAAACTAGAAGAGATGTCTCCCAGAGAAGACAGCCAGAGCCAGAAGTGGTATCTCATCTGGAGGCTGTCCCACAGAGTAACCATTCCTCCCTTTTATGGGGATAACAACTTATTCATATAATTCTAAAATTAAGATTTAACTTAGATCCATCTGGTTTAATGTTTCTCCACTTTGGTTCCAACTTTAATGACTAAGTCTAGTACCTACCTATCAAAATTCTGGCTGCCATCAGAACGTCTCTGAAAAACAGTCCAACCACCCCCTTCAGACATGTCACAGAAGGCAAGGAATTCAATAGGACTCTGGATAGGTTTCATCTTATAAAATCCACTTTGTTTATGGCCATCATTGTAGATGTCTGCACAATCTGTTCACAAAACATTCATTGGACACAGTTTTTTTAGTCCTATACTTACTGGCAAAATCAGAAATCAAAGCAATAACAGAAATCAAGTCATGTCATGAGAGAGTCACGTATGAACCAGGCTAATACAAAGGAAAAACATCTGCAAACACATTTCTAAGACTTTTGGGCATTTTCTTCTATTTGTGTTGCTTTAAAACTTTATTGAGCTGTAATTATTTTGACATTTCTTTAAAAGAATCTTTTTTCCACCATAAATGGCACATGGAGGACATGGAGATGATTCAAGACTGCCAGCTTCACCAAGGGCAAGTCCTGCCTGACCAACATAGTGGCCTTCTAGGACGGAGTCACCACATCAGTGAACAAGGGAAGAGCTACTGATGTCGTCTATCTGGACTTCTGTAAGGCCTTTGACTCAGTCCCCCCAACATCCTTCCCTCTAAATTGGAGAGAGATGTATTTGATGCTCAGGCCCTGAGCAACCTGGTCTAGTTGAAGATGTCCCTGCTCATTGCAAGGGGGGTTGGACTAGATGATCTTAAAAGGTCTCTTCAACCCAAAGATTCTATGATTGTGGACTGTTGGGTGGATGAGGAATTGGTTGGATGGTGGCATCCAGAGGGTAGTGGTCAATGGCTCGACATCCAGATGGGGATCAGTGACAAGTAGTGTCCCTCAGGGGTCCATATGGGGACCAGTACTCTTTAATATCTTCATCAGTGACATAGACAATGGAATTGAGTGCACCCTCAGCAAGTTTGCCGATAACAACAAGCTGAGTGATGCGGCTGACACACCTGAGGGATGGGATGCCATCCAGAGGGACCTGGACAAGCTCAAGGAATGGGCCTATGTGAACCTAATGAGGTTCAACAAGGCCAAGTGCAGGGTCCTGCACCTGGGTCGAGGCAACCCTTGGTATCCATACAGGCTGCGGGATGAAGGGATTGAGAGCAGCCCTGCTGAGAAGGACTTGGGGGTACTGGTGGATGAAAAGCTGGACATGAGCCGGCAACGTGCACTCATAGCCCAGAAGGCAAACAACACCCTGGGCTGCATCAAAAGAAGTGTGGCCAGCAGGTCAAGGGAGGTGATTCTGCCCCTCTACTCTGCTTTGGTGAGGCCCCACCTGGAGTCCTGTGTCAGCTCTGGAGCCCTCAGCACAGGAAAGACATGGACCTGTGGGAGCGGGTCCAGAGGAGGGCCACAAAAATGATCAGAGGGATGGAGCACCTCTCCTATGAAGAAAGGCTGAGAGAGTTGGGGTTGTTCAGCCTGGAGCAGAGAAGGCTCTGGGGAGACCTTCTTGCAGCCTTCCAGTACTTCAAGGGGGCTGATAAGAAAGATGGGGACAGACATTTTAGCAGGGCCTATAGCAATAGGACAAGGAGTAATGATTTTAAACTAAAAGAGAGTACATTTAGACTAGATCTAAGGAAGAAATTTTTCCCAGTTAGGGTGCTGAAACACTGGCAGAGGTTGCCCAGAGAGGTGGTAGATGCCCAATCCCTGGAAACATTCCAGGTCAGGTTGGATGGGGCTCTGAGCAACCTGATCTAGTTGAAGATGTCCCTGCTCATTGAAGGGGGGTTGGACTAGATGACCTTAAAAGGTCCCTTCCAACCCAAAGATTCTATGATTCTACAAAATATTCTCATTTTTGTTTTCATTTGCCTACCAAAATAATTTCTCTGGTTTAAGTGGTGTCACTTTTAATTTACAATGGTATCATCCACATTAGAATCCTGTTACAATCATATAATTTCTCTACATGTAAAACACACAGTAACCTTTAAAAACAAACATGTACTTCTATGTCCAGAAAGTCCACAGGAGAACTGCCAAAAACAAGAGTATGGAATTATGAGTGTTAAAAAAGGGAAACAAATGCTGGACCTGATACTCTTGTCCCTTCTACCAAACAGATCCAAAACTATATAGAAGACAACCCCCAAAAAGCGCAGTGTATGTGTAAAATGATATCACTTCAGCTTGATACCATTTACAGTCTGGTCTGCATTGGTGTTAATCAGCATTTACAGCAATGACAAAATTCAGAGCTCATGAAAATATAACAGCAATGTAACTGTATAATCTTATCAATTCTTCCTCCAGGAGTTAAGAAATTAGAGGAGTTCTTTTTTTATATGTAATCTACCATGAAGCAGTCATACAGGAAAGATGTATAATTTTCAGCATTTCTGTTTTTCCTGGCAAAGGTAGGGCTGATTAACTGTAAAATTTTTCCTGAAAGATTTATGAACATGTTGGCTGAACTTCCAGACCAGCTTGGAACTTTCTGAACTATTATATTTCTTCTCAGTGAAAGTGTCAGTGAAGATTACACATCGAAAATAAACAGTTTACACTGAAACCAAATAGCTATGCCAGGATTTGCATAAATTCTAATAGAAAACATGATTTAAATAACAGCTAAATTGTCTTTCTAGAGAATGTTTGATTGGCTTATAGAAAATAGCTTTTTTTGTCCATTATTTTCTTAGTATGTTAGCAAAACACTTCAGCATATTTTAATTTTTAGCAGGTGTATATGGTGTGGAATTTCTCCCTCACTATCTAACCATAAATTATCCTGCTCTGTTGATGTTAAAATGCTAGAGGAGTTTGAATGAAATAATGCAGTATCAACAGAGAAACACATTTTCCAAGCTACAGGGAAAGTGAAAAAATAATGCGAAAAAACCTCATCAGAAACCAGAACAACTTAGTTCTGTTATTTAGAATCACGTTTTAAGAAAATAAACTAGGCATATGCTAAGAAAGGACAAATACTTTTCAGCTAAATATGGTTTTAATAATCTTTTTTCCAGTTACTAATGAGTCAGCCACAATAATAAAAAAAGTATTCCAGGATGCTGACTACATAAATACAGCTAAAATATTAAGTCAGACTTACAATTGCTTTTAATTTCATTTTAACAGTGCTTTATTGTACTTGATGCTTTGTTATATGTTGTCATTTCTTCCAGCAGCATAAATACTACAAGCGTATTCAAACCTATTAAAAATTATAGAAGTTTAGACTCTCTAGCACTGGACAACTAGAAACGAACACCATCCAAGAATCAAACCCCCAAGTTGTATTTTCAATCCAATTATTGGTTTGGATAGTGTTTTATTATTTTAAGAGCTTGGGCCTCACTCCAACTACTACAGGCTGACACACTTAGTCTTCCTCCAGTGCAGAGGGACCAGATCATCACCAGAATGCTGGTGAGACTACAAAACCAATTTAAAAACCAATATTTTAGAAGCTGCAATGTCCTAAGCTGAACCTCAGTCATTCAAAATGGTGCAACATACAGAATAATATTAAAGTGAAACACAGATATCAGTATGCCAGGCTTATGTGTGTAAATATGGATGTCTCAGGGACTTTACAGATTGGAACAGAGTCAGTGTGTTCTTGAAACCCATGTGACCCTGTGAGTGTGTGAATGTGAACTGATCCTGTGGGTTAGAACTTTTTGAGGTTAGTCAAAGACAGTGTTTAGAAATCTGTAACTGTTTAGTAATATTTTGTAAATGTCTATTATTGGCTTTTATCTGTTGTATTGCTGATATTTATTCTGAATTTATTGTTCACTGATTGTTTTTTAATTATGTGCTATTAGTAAATCAATAAACTGCTGCAATCCTGATTTGATTTATACCATGTGAGATTAACAATTACCTAGGTAAAAGGTGAACATTCAGTTTTAAACAAACAATTTTCTATGAGCTTTTAAGACAATAAGTCAATGGGCCCCATTGTGCTAAGGCTTCTGGGTATCATTACAATGAATGGTAATGAAGAGAATAGCTTCATTTCTAACCTGAATACTGTCTTTTTCCTCCCAAGTCAATGACACTGTTTTCATCTCCTCTGTCACTGTACTGAATCTCTTTCTTCTCTAAAAGTTGTGTAATTTTTAACTGCTGCTGTTTCACACGATGTTCCAGAAGCCTCACCTGGCCCTGAAGTCGTATCTGCTCTTGAAAACAGTTCTGTAGATCCTAGAGAGAAAAACATATATTATTGTAAAATCAACATTTTTTGGGCACATTTAACATGGGACATAAAACACCAAGAAAACAAACCATAAATAAACTGAATAAAACATTTTGGTCACAATTTCTTACAGTCACTATGGTGTCTTCCACCTCAGTTGCCACCTCTATTTAAAATTATTTCATATATTACAGTGTCCAAACATATCCCTGCTTCACAAAAAGACTTTCTCTTTAGTGGCTATAACTACCAGCTCTCACTGCAAACATGCAGAAGGGACTTCAGGGAAAAACACTACAGTATAGGCCCTATCAGAAAGATTACCTATTCTCTATCACCTGCCCTGTACAGAGATTTACTATCCAGTGAGGCCTGCTACTAACATTATGAAGGTTCTAAAATTCCAGAGTTTTAAAGAAATATAATCCACACCAACATGTTTTCAACTTCATTGTGCATGTTTCAAATGCTTTGATATTACACAGTTGTTATGATAAGCATCCCAACATTGCCAACATAAATACTGTAAAGTTTCAAGCTCATTTTTGGCATGCTAAAATAAATATTCCCTAGGAAGCTACAAATATGCATGAAAAATAAAAGTTAAAAACTTAAAAGTCAATATTGTGCTGTGACTTGTACACAAATTTTGCCATTCAGAGTGGGTGAGAAATGTGGCGATTCTGATATGGCAATACCTAGCACTCATTTCACCCTGGTGCAAATACTGATACGTGACAAGAGAGCTGGAATAACTGTTCCAAATTCAGACATGCTGAATGTACACATAGCAATAAATAATTGTTTTTAGATTAATGGCTATGGCAAAATAGCCAAAGTGAACAGAACCCAGTCCAGGGAGCTTAAATTGAAACAGCCTGTACAGTTTCAAATAGATATTAAACAAATTTGATTTCAGCATGAGGAAAAAAGCCTTTGGGGTTTTAGGATACATTTTACAAATGTGATATGAGGTTTTGCATCTGCAGTTTTCTATGAGCAAACAGAGTTTAGTAGCCATGGTGCTTGCACAAGAGCACAACTAGCATTGTAAAAGCAAAATCGGAGGGCAACCTTTTGGAAATCTGATATGTAAGATCAAATATGCAGTAGTCCTAAATTGGTGCAACCTTATTCATAGGGCAACATTATTTACATGTTCTAAGCGTGTAGATCTGTAACATTTGCCATTCATAAGGAAGAGCTGATATCTTAGAACATTGCCCTATCACACTGAACTATAGAGAGATCTGAAGTAGCATACTGATGTGCACCTCCAGTGGCATCTGCATACTTTCATTTGTATCAGGCCCAGGCTTCACGTCTTTTCCAAGAACACTCCCACCAAAACATTTCTTGTCACTTTCTTGCTGCAGTGTATTTTTTTTTCTTCTAACTGAAAAGCTGATACCATTCTGTAAGTTTCTATGCAGCACAAACACGGTTCTGTTTAGACTGACATCCTTGCAGTACCATTCACCACAGCTCCAAGAATAGACTTTGTGAATAATATTAACAGTATTAATTAGAATCTGCATTTTATGACTCTCTTACATGCAGATTTTTTTCATAATTCATTTGTGGTACTAGTTAAAAAGCAGAGGAAATTCTGCCACTGTCAAGGAACATCCATATAAACTGTGTCGTGACCATGACCTGTTATTTCTCATAGAACTAGGTGTTGCAGATGTCCAGGCCCCTTTGCTTTTTCACTAGAGAGGATGCAATTTACTTTCAACAAATAGACAAATGAACTAGAGACATTCCAAGAGAGTATTTGAAGATAAAGGAATCTATGTCCTTGAGTTCAGTAAGATGCTTCCTAGCCATCATGTTCCATTTGCCTGAAGTATTTAGTCACCCTGAAAAGTCTCATGATCAGGTGTGCTGATTTTGCAGAACATTCCTGAATATAGGCCTCTGCTCTAAGTATTTCTGAAGTGTATCCGATGCTTGCTTTGATCCATACTTAACTGCAATCTAATATACATGGTGGAATAAAAGAATGGGGAATACACATGTGGCAGGACTAGGCAATTTGTCAGTGACCTGTCTGAGAGGAAAAGGTTCAACTGCCTCTCTGGGTTTGGGCTGCCCATGTCAGGCTGCTTTGACAGGAAGTGTGTCTGCAGGCACTAACTGTCTGCTTGCTACTAGGTCCTGACATGAAGATGCTTGACCACAAGGAGGAGCTGTTAAAATGAGAGGCATGTTTACCAAACACTAACATTTTTAGAAAAATAAACAAAGCAGCCAATGACCTAATATCCCTAGAGTCCCATCCTATTTAAGAATACTCCCTTGAAAATCTTTTCCAGTTGTTGATAGCTATACAAGATCCATAGCATACCCTCCTTTTCTTCCAGCAAGAAACAAGAGAAGAAAATACTTAAAATACACACACATACAGAGACAAACTTGCTACAGGGGCTTAGAGGGATGTTATTTGACCATAAGCACTGGTTAATGTGTGACATGCTGCATGTTACAAGGAAAGGATGCACTATTATGCAGTCTTTCCAAGGTGGTGGTCTCAACTTATATCTGCAGCTTCATATAAACCTTTCACAAAATTGGGAAATTTGGAAGAGGCTTCCTTGAAAGGTCTCTGCAAATTCTCAGGCTCGTCCCAAGTGCATACAGAAAATTATGGCGAACCGGAGAGCTACATAGGTGAGTTGATAAATAATTCCTGGCTTACCCTGATGAGCTAATGCTAACTATAGAAGTAAAGCTGTCAAAAAAAACATCTTAACAGTCAGACCAAATATTAATCCTAATCATATTATGTTAAGAGTGATAAAGGAGCCACTATGCCACACTTAACCAGTTTTACTGCAGTGTTTGTTTATTGAGAAGGTTAGCCTGTACCAGTCTTAACTCAGTACTTGTGACCTTGGAGAACATGGTAAAATACAATAGGAAAGGCGTGGGTGATCCTGGAAAGGGTGGCCCCTGTCCGCCAGGCCCTTGCAATTTCATAGGCAAGACTTCAGGTGGGTAGTCTCTTCAACACACTGCAAGGTCTGATCCATGAAGAGCTACTTTCAGTTCTGGACAGAGTAGGAGTCTGCACATAAATGTGCAGCTACAGGCAGCTAGGTGTGTTTCTTGCAGGTGTAGTGAAAATGCATCTATCATTTCACCTAGTTGTACTGCTAAAAGGCATTCTCCTACTGTGATTAAATTACATAGTAAAAGTACAAAACTTCTCAAAAAATATTATCGTAACTTACAAAAACTTGGTATCTAAATTCAGTATGATAATACTTCATACACCATCATATATGGTCCTTTCCTTTGAAGCAAATTAAACACAAGTCTGCAACAGGCTATGTCTCTAAATATTATTCTTAACTTTGCATTTTAAATTTATATTATCTTTTTGTTTACTGAAAATTGTGAATTAATTAATGAAAATTAAAAACTAACACTGAGCTGATTCTCATCTGCTTTACAGACAATACACTCACTACAGGGTGAACAGTAATATATCTACATTAAACATAGCAATCTCCTGATGAAAAAGATTTATGCTCACAGTGCTGGTAAATAGTAGGCAACAATCAAGAAATCACCAGCCATACTGAATAACTACACCATAAGAAAGAAATGACTAAGCAGAATTGGAGTTCTGAAAGCAACATACATATGAAAAGTACTGGTATCTGATACTTTGCTTTCTCTCCTTGACTCCAGCCTCCTCACTGACGTCTCTTTCTGTCAACTTCAGACAAATCCCATTACACTTTGCTGCTACACAGCAAAACCACAATTCCCATATTTGGAATTCCACACCTGTTTTTCCCATGGTACAATCACAAGTGGATCAATGTGGCTTTTGAATCTACAGGTTACCGGACTGTTCTTTTAATGTACTACTACACGCTTTCACAGGATAACTCTTTTAAAATCATTGGAGTTAAACCAGTGCACAGCTAGAGTAATACAGAAGCAACATGTAACCTAGTTATAAGTCAGCAGCTACAATGTATTCCAATTCTTTTTGTTAGATATGGACCAAAGTCAAACTATTACAATGCTGAAATACTCAAAAAATGTGAATTTGATTGTGCCTGTCTCCAGCAAACAGTAGTGCCCACTGACTGAAACCAGAATGAACATAACGTGCTGTTTCAGTGAAGCAACTCTTTGTACTACACATTGAGAAGCAATTATCTAACAACTGCTGACAGCTCTGCTCTTGGACATGCGGTCCCATATTTAACCAGCTGCTTCAATTAATGTGCATTCAGAATCTTCATTTCATTATTGTGTGAATTATTTAGCAGCTAGTGACCTTCCATTAAAATTGATACTATAAATTAGACTCAGAATACTTTAGGAAAACTATAAAAATAAAAAAAAATACTTGAGGTGTTATTTCCTTTATTTTTAGAATTTAAATGAGCTCCAAAAAATCTCTATTGAGATTTGTGTTTTAATGAGATTAAAATGTGAAAACTTAGAGATAAATTTCAGAATGCTCCCAGTTTTTAGGTACAGGATCAGCTGAAGCCCATAATATTCCAGATGAAAAATCAAAAGAAAGAAAATGCACTTCATTGTAATGCCTTTTTCTCAGTAGGTTTCTATAAAAATTAGTAATATTTTTCTCCACAGAGCAGAAGTTGATTAGAGAGGCAGGTGCTTCCTATTCTGCCCCTACAAGGCTACTATCTGAGCAAAGGGCTTCCATAAGATAAGATAATGTAAGCCACAAACAATAATGCTCACCTAGTTGTAAATTCAGCAACCACTTCCACCTATGCAAGTATGAAACAATAATTCAATCTCCCAGGTCCCTGCTAGTTAGGACCTGAATATCAAACTAGGAAGGACAGCCAAGACAGGCAGTACAGGACTGGTGAGGTTAGAAGTATTTTAAGCAGTGGAGTAAGTGTGGTTGGGGTAGGGTTTTTGTTGGAGAGGTAGAATATATAGCAGAAGGTTTTGCGAGCTACAAGTGAAGGAGCTTTGATCATTCTTTCTGAGTGTGAATTATAACAAAGTAACATAGGAACAAGCAAGAATATGAAGCTGTAGACCTTATTTGAGAACAAGTTGTATGGCAAGTGGACAAGGTAGAAAAGCACAGAAACAGTCTTCATCCTGAGTGTCAATGACGAGAAATACTACTGCTGCAGCCAGCGCTTTAGGAGTTCCTGGGTTTTGCCTTTCTGTAAGTATGCTGCTCAAAACTAAAGGTGTTATTCTGAGTTAGCATTACCCCAGAATGGTAGTATAACTGTCTTATATGCCTTCTGTACAATGTCCCTGCTAATACATCATATGATACCTTTTTTAGCAAAGATATTCTATCACCTTCTGTTTCATGTTGTATCCAATAACAAACTGACTGGATTACTTTATTCAGTGCTGTTGCCCAAACATTTATCTTCCATTGTATATTTATGCATTTGTTTCTTTCCTTTCTCCGTATCGGAAACTTGTCTCCATCGAATACCATTCGAGGTTACTTCCCCAGTCTTTCAGTTTTGTTCTGAATTCTAATCTTTTCCATCAAAGGTTCTGCCATCCTGTGTAGTTGAGATACACTGTAAACACTATGGAGGACAAAGTATGAAATATTTAGAAGAAATTCTATAGGCAAATTTAATTACTAGAACTTACAGAGCTGCCAATGGCATCCATCAAGCTAGCAGCAAGGACAAAATCAATCATTATCAAGATCTTCATTCTTTGGGAGCTGTGGAGGAACAAATGAAACACTAGTTAACTTAAACATTAAAACTTGACATCTTAAATTTTATTTGAAATAATATATTTAACCTATAATAATTTTCTTATGTATTGTAAATATAATGTATATTTATGCTTCATTACAAATGTGTAAAATGGTCTGATCAAGTACAGCTCCACAAATTTATCCTTTTAGGCCACTTTGTATAAGAACTCTCCATGTATTTTAGGACAGCTGTTAAAGATTCAAACCCACACATTTTATTGTGAAACGAGACAAAAGCAAAATAGTATCTTAAAATGCTCTGAAAAGCAGGGCAATATTCTTTGTTGGTCCTCTAAAGTTGGGAGAAAGCTCTCTGTTATATTCAAGTGATTAAAATCTGAATTGGGCTAGTTGTCCTTGAACTAAAGAAGATTTGTGCAACTTCTGTATGCCAGGAGAGGATGTAGATAATTTTACTGTTACAGAATAATTTTGGGGAAAAATGTGTAATAGTTATCAGCTTTTATTCTAATGGTGACAAGGATGACATCCTTCCACTGACAGTTATGCATATTTTGTACTGTATGACCCATAGTGTTTTAAATCCCATTATTTCATATGAAGATTATTTTATATGCCAAAATGACCACCATTGTATCTCACTGCCTTGCAAACATTAGCTGATATAACTTCACAATTTTCTGTAAGGTAGATGTGTGCTTTTCTGATCACAGATGAGAAACCAAGGCCTCCGATTACTAAATATTTACCTAGATTATACACGAACCAATTATAAATTGACTAGTTAAACTGCTGCAAGCTATCAACTGAGGAACTTTTTTTTTAACACTTTTTTGAATTTTTTTGAATTTTAAGTTTTAAGTTGTTCTTCATGCTAACCAAATAAATGTTGTATCATATGAATGAGAAGCTTCACCATAATTCAATGCAACAAGGTCTGCTACTTTCTGAAGTGGTGAATCCTATGAACTTCAGGCTTAAAAAAAGGAGGGAGGGGGAAATCTGCAAGAATTGTCTGGCATTGAATTCTGCTATTAATTTAGGTTTCGGAGGTTTCTGCCATGATAAAACATGCACTTTCACGTTACAACAGTAGTAATTATGGCTATTGCAGCGACTGCTGTTTTGAAAACAGCTGTTGCCATCTGTTGCAATGACACTGTCTGTGAGAGGAGTGACCAAAGAGTACATTAGCTATCGGGACAATCTGCAAATGATCTATCTATGATAATTGCTGTCCTGACTCCATGCATACCTTAAATACGTTATCTTGGAGAGAAGGGACTATATTTTTTTCACTGGAAGATTCATATTTAACTGTTCTGCTTCACTCTCTGTTATTTTCATTATAAAAGCACACTGTTCTCCCTCACATTAGTCTTAATATTCAAACTGTTCTATCATGATTTCACTAACTGTGAATGCCTGAATACCGCAATCAGTCTTAAAAGGGTTGCACGTCTTTACAACTACAGTATTCTTATTTTTTTTAAAAAGACTACCAAGTAAATCTTGTATACTGTTCAGAGAAATTTATGTTAGTGAAAAAAATAATAGAAGACTATCAGGCACAATCAAGGCAGATCGTGTCCCTTACAGCATGTGTGAGCTACTACGAGCAAGCTGCACAAGAGGGATAAAGAGTTGAAGAGTGTAGAGTCTGTGCAGTTGGTTTGGTTTGTCATCTTCAAATGAAGTCACGCTTCTATTTAAAGGGTGTCTCTTTCTAAAGCATGTTCCTGTTGTGGGGAACTTCATATGGGCAGCACTTGGAAGACAACTTTGCCTGTATCAGCTTTAGCACTGAACTAAAATATGCTCAAAAGACATATTGAAATATAGGAGTAGTCTCATAAATAAAATTATAAATGTGATGATTTAAATATATTGCTCAAGCTATTTTAATCCTGGAAGTTAATCTTTAATACAGGAAGTTGGATGGTAAACCCAAAACGGATTATTGATCCTATAGTCACTCACAATATGAACTCACTATGATTGTAAGAGAATTAAGAGGCGTATAAAGAAGGAGCAACTGACAGCTCCATTTGGCAGACCTGTCAATCAGAAACAGGGAAGACCTTGAAACAGAGAGAACACAGCAGAAAAACTACAGAGTGGACCTGAAGTAGGAACAAGGGTTGAGGGAACCAATGTCTTTGTACTGTTGTCCTCCCAAAAAAGGAGAAAGGTCAAGAAGACTAGGAAGAGACATGAAAACTCAAGCTCTGAAAGGGAATGGCTGACCTAATGTTGTTTCTCTGCTTCTGTCGCTGCCCAGCAAGGAGACCCAGACAAGGTAGAGGACAGTGAGCGGTGCTGATCCTGGAAGGGGCAGTACCTTGTACCTTTAAGCCAATTTCTCAGCAGGTATAAATTCCCATAGTTTATCTGATCCCACAGTTGCAGTCACATGACATTCACTCCATGGTCAAACTTACAGTGATAAGAAAAGTGGTAAATAGGGTCAAGCCCCATGTATGTTCAAAGTGCTTTGCATATACTAACTGAATCAACAGCTTCAGTCTTGGAATTAATGTCAGTAACTGTTTATTAGTTTCTCAGATTTCTACAAAAAGTTTCAGAAAAGGTTGTATTAGTAACAGTTCTCTAAAAGTGTACATCCACGCTCTTTGGTAATATCTAAAGTTAAAGTTCTGTTCAAGGGAAGCTTAAAATCTTGCTCTAGGAAGACTGCTTTGCAAGTTAGTTTCTTAAATTAATTGCTCCACTCATTTAAATATTTACCCTGGTTGTTACATATATATTTAAAATGCATTATCCAGAAATGCACATGGAGGTTAAAATAATTAAAAATGTAGGGAGAGAATAAAACTGCTGATAAACATTCACACACAGTGCAATAAAAACATTAACTCCAAAAACTGCAAAAAAATTACAAACCTTAATCCATGACAGATGAAAACAATTGCATAACTTAGCAAGTATTTTTGTGTTGCTAGCAAATCCAAAGAGTTAGTATGTGCTGAGAGACTTCCAAGACTTTTGTTATAACACCTGTGTTGGTTTTACAAAAACAAAGAACTAAATTTGTACAGGGGAGATCCCTTTCCAGGAAAATCTTAATCTCAGACAGTAGATATGTGGATTGATTATCACACATCACGATCGAGTGAGAAAAACTTAGTGTAGTATTTTCAAGCTGAAAGCACAAGCCCTTAACAGTTGGCTGAAAAAAAAAATCACTTTCTGTTTTAGTAAAATAGAAGTTTAAGGCAACTCTTGTGAAACCTTGAAATTTTATCCATATGAGAGTACTCCTTTCTTATTCAAAGATTACACCTGGAATGTGCCCTGCCACAGCTGTGCAGAAAGATTTCTCCAAAGCTGCAGAATGAAAATTCTACAAAGGTACCTTTTTCCTTCTCTGTGCCTGGGCTTTCTTCACAGGTTACTTAGACAATCAATCCTATGTTCAAATTTCCCCTAAATTTGTTGTTTTTCCAATTGTTCAATAACAAGCTACTAAATAGATTTGATGACATTAGAGAAACTCTGTCCTAAGAAAATTTTGAACTCTCAGCTTGGTTTCTTGTTCTTGAATTCTGAAGACAGCAAACTAGATTAAATTCAGATGCCTATTTCTGTTTGTACAGTGTCAATAAGAATTGCATTGCTAATAAATACAGTAAGACAGAATCTGCTAAAAGGACAGATAATGACTTGAAAGATTTTTGCTGGCTTTCTTAGAATTCAAAATGGTTTTAATGATTAAACTCATGCTCAAATTTTGTTTTGTTTTAATTAGGTAGCGTTACAAAAATTGCCCCATTTTCCTCATCTGAAAAATGAACAATAATTCATTATTTGATCTCCTTTTAGGCTTAAAAAGCAGTCTTGTTCATACAGCCATACATTTTTATACATTTAGAAACTACAGATTTGAATATGAGGTTTATTAACTAACTAGATATAGCAGCAAAATAGCTAGATATTGCCAAAACATTCATACATCGTTAGCAATGTTGCACCGGTTATACAGCCTTCAAAACCATTACTTTTAAACTATAGCAATTACCACAAATTCTTCCTTCTTCCCTCACAGGTAACTAAAATGTTTACCTTTACTCTCTGGACAGAACTCAAAGTTGTTAAATCTTCTTAAGCTGATGCAAAGAATTCCACAGCCCTTCCCAGGCTGCGATTGTTTTTGCTATTAAAATCTGTAGAGTTGAGACTTACATCTGCCATGAGTCACTGGGCAGGAATGTTACTGAGAAATTGCAGTTATCAAGACTAAATTGCAACATAAGAAGGAAGAAGACAGTAATTCTGTGCCTAACACAACACTTCTGAAATAAAAACAGACCAAAAATAACAAAGGATAATCCATTCCCTTTCATTGCTGTGATCCAGGAAATTGCTCTCAGCATCACATTCAGCTATATACTCCAGTGGTCTCCTGAATCAGAACCTAAATCTTTTAGGCTTTAGAGGTATATAGACAGCATAACTGACTCAACTTTTAAAACATAAACACTCAAGACTAGAAGTTACATGCTAGAGGTGTAAAATAAAAAGAAATCTACTTAAAAAAAACAACAAAAAACCAAGTGACAATGATAGTACAGACAAAGCCTAAGGGAACAAGGAAAAAAGGACAAAGAATCTTGTTTGATGTAAGTCAGTGTTTTTTAGCTAAATTGGAAGGCACTCAAAAGCACATGATCTCAGTGACTTGGTTAGACAAAATCACTTTCTATATAAGCTTTTTAGAGCCAGATGAATACAAGAAATAATGTTTTAAAATGCAATTTGTTTTGAGTGTTTGCCCTCCTTCTATGTTGGCTCTTCCCAAAAAGTTCAATAAATGAGTATGCTTAAAGGAATGCTTCTGGAAGAAGTGAACTCTTAAGAAAATATTGAACAAAAGCAGTAAGAGGAGTTTTACACTCCACAATATAAATATTCACACCATCAGCTTCCTTGTGAAGACTAATACTTGTTTCACACTTCCTTTGAATAATTTTTGGTGTATTACTTGGAATTTGGCACTATTTCTATTTACTAATTACATTACATCAACTAACTAACTTCATATTCTGAATTTCAAATAATTGCAATAAATTTCTCATAAGTAGCCTGCCCTAAGAATCATTCAAAAATTCAAAATCATTCAGCAAGTCATTTTTGCTGGGAATCTTACTATGTCTAATGACTTGCAAGGAGGGAGATACCTGTTCATACCATGACTCTTAATGATCGTTACTCAGTGGATGGGTTCTGAATCTAGAAAGTGGAAAAAAGGCATGGCATTTTAAACTTGGATTTATTAACCATTTAAACAATTTATTGAGGGTTACAAGCAGATTCTCCATCACTTGAAGTTTTTAAACAAAGACTAGATGGCTAAAATGTATGGCTGTGTTTCAGTTAAACAAGACTTATTTATTTATTTGACAATTACAGCATCATCAGAGATTTGTGTTATTCAAGAAGTCTATAGGCTACCCATCATCAGAATGATTTTGCAAGAATTAATATATTAAATAGAAGCCTCTCAAAGAGTGTACAGGTGGAAGTCATATAAGCACAAAAGGAAGAGAGAAAGGTCTTTGTTAGACCTATTGGATACATCCAATACCAAAAACTGACAAATGTCATAAACCTTGACATGGCCAGTAAATACCCATCGTATTCAGATTTGCTGCTCTTGGGAGAGTTTGCACAGAAGTGAAGCAAAATATGGCAAGGATCATTAATTAGTCTTTTTATCAGGTTTTTGACAAAAATATGTATGAAGAATAAAATGCTGTTCCTCACTTCACTAAATCAACATGTTTATTACTTCCTATAAGCAAGGTAAAAACAGCCAGTTATATTAAATCCATCTTGTATCTTTTGTAGTTGTTTAAAAGAAATAGTACAAGAAATCAGTGGTTTTTGTTCCCATTGTATCTCCCCAAGTATTTTATCTTACAGAAGTTTAACAGCTTTGGGCAATCCCAGACATGGATACAGGCTGGGCAATGAATGGGTTGAGAACAGCACTGCCAAGAAGGACTTGGTGGATGAAAAACTGAGTGTGAGTCAGCACTGTGCGCTCACAGACCAGAACACCAACCGTGTCCTGGGTTGCATCAAAAGCAGCGTGACCAGCAGGTCAAGAGAGGTCATTTTGCCCCCTACTCTGCTCTGGTGAGACCCCATCTGGAGTACTGCATCCAGCTCTGGAGCCCTCAGCACAGGAAAGACATGGACGTGGGTCCAGAGGAGGGCCACAGAAATTATCAGAGGGATGGAACACCGCTGCTATGAAGAAAGGCTGAGAGAGTTGGGGTTGTTCAGCCTGGAGAAGAGAAGGCTTTGGGGAGACCTTATAGTGGCCTTTCTGTACTTAAGGTGTAGTACTTAGGTGTAGGCCCCCTACAGGAAGGATGGGGAGAGACTCTTTATCAAGGAGCATAGTGCTAGGATGAGGGATAATCGTTTTAAACTGAAAGAGGGTAGATTTAGACTAGATAGAAGGAAGAAATTCTTTACTGTGAGGATGGCAAGACACTGAACAGGTTTCTCAGAGAAATTGTAGATGCTCCCTCCTTGGAAGTGTTCAAGGCCAGGTTGGATGGGGTTTGAGCAACCTGGTCTAGTGGAAGGTGTCCCTCCCATGGCAGGGGGGGTGGAACTAGATGATCTTTAAGGTCCCCTCCAACCCAAACCATTCTATGATTCTATGATTCTAATATAAGAAAACCCAAGACAATGCATTCATAATATCATCCTTTTATTGTTCAGACTCAAAAGAAGTTGCAAGCACACAAGAAGCTTTGATAGTACAAGGAACCACTCTCTTTTCCCTGATAAACTGCGATGCAGGTGTTAAGCACCATTTATAAAATATAAAACTTTACTTTTTCTCATGTGTACGATTTTTTTTAACCAACAACAAACCTCCATTCTAGGATTGGCTGAAATCATATTTGAAAATGTGCATTCAGCATTGTAGATCCAACAAGATGATAATTAAATGGTCTTTCACATATGCTAAACAGTAACAGTAATACATTGAAAATACTTTTAAATGGAATACGCTGCTTGGTTTTGTAACTTACACACTAGGCCTTTTTTTCTGAGAAAAAACAACAACAACAAACTCCAACAAAAAACCCTACCCAAAACCCAACCTGACTAGCTCCATCAAAATTATGATGTCTGAGTAAATTTAACTTTGGGGTTTTTTTTATTTTTTAACGCATAAAGTAGTAGCAATGTGTTACTTCCATAATAATATTTTGTTACTGAAACACAACAGAGATGAAATCAAAGATAAGCCAAACTCATCTTTATGACTAAAAATTTCTGTATGTCCATGTTTTTAAAGGTAGCCTTGTTTCCAATAGTAAGTGTATTTTTTTTTGTATAGGCTGACTTAAGCATGGTATGTTTACAAGAAAATCTACTTAAGTAGTTACTGTAACTGACATTGTGCCAGTTATCAGAATACTATTATATCTCCCCATTATAAGTATATTCCACAAATAAAAGCATTGCGTAAGAGCTTCACACACATAACGCTGTGGGTGTTTGCATAGCTTACTGACATGTTAAATGGCTTCCAATGTTGAGGGCAGACTACTGATGAAAGCAAGTACGACCCTGTCTGCTTGAGTGGAGTTACTTTAGATTGTTCAACAGTTCACTTTAACTATATTTAGATAAGAGATGGCCCACATATTCAAGAGAATAAAATGATCAAAAAGCTACACTAGATTTAGTCAACAGTTCGGACTGCTACAAAAAATTGTATCCACTAAGCTTTTGGAAGTTAAATATAGTTACGTTTAGTTGGAGACACATATCAAAAAACAGAGTATGTTGTACCTACTTCTGCATTAATAGATTATCAAGGTTCCTTCTTGCTAAAGCAATTTGGCATTTCAGGATTCTGGTGGAATAATCTATACCAGTTTAACATGAGTCCTGCTTAGTCAAATGACAACACTCTCTTTCATGGACCGTCTCATTTATATACAAGAAATTTGCACCCAAGTATTAAAATGGCAATAAAATAAGATCAAATTAAAGTGACATGCTCTTGGCAGTTCAAATCCCTAAAGTTCATGAGATGTTGATGATGGACCTCCTTGATGAAATTCTGGTTATTCACAGGGGAGCATATGAAGTAGTCCTGTTGTACCAAACACAACAGAAACCAACAAAAGGAAGCAGCATGATTGTTCACTATTCCAATTCTCCACTTACTCAGTACTACCTTTTTCTGAGGGTTACTGATTTTTTTGTCTCTCTCTAGGACATTGTTGCCTTCTTTATTTCAGCTTTCTGCTTCTTTCACTCCACTGACATGCAAAGTTACATGAGGTAATATCCAGTGTCACTGCAGTAGTCTTCAGGCATGCTAGCTTAGTGTACATGATCCACCACAGGCTTCAGTCTTTGAAGTAGACAGTGGCCATTATTGCTTCACTTGCCCATTCCTTTAAGGAATATTGTGCACTTGCTTATGCATGAGAGTTAGCCATCTCTCTCATACAACTTATTAGTAGTGTTTTACTTTTCCAGTGTTGGATGATTTAGAGTGCTACAAGCCAATACTTTGCTTACTTTTGGACAAATAAGAAACTTCAGACTATTTTAAAGCTTTTGATTCTTTTAACATGCTGTCTTCAAAATGCTTGCCTCCTTCTAACGAAAGCAGTGGTAGAAACAAATTACACCAAAACCACAGAAGTCCATCTATAAACTTATCAAGATTTCACTTACTATATAAATACATTGCACCAAGCAACCAGGGCCTATGACTGCAACCTGAAGCATATGAATAATAGACATCTAAAACTTGCATAATCACATGATGAATTTGAAATGTTAAGGCAATAAATGTAATTCCCTGATAACACCAAGAGATAAACAGAAAAGAACCTCCTACTTATTCTGAAATGACAGAATGAATGCACTTTATTTTTTTAGTGAATGGATATAATATCACAGAATCACTAGGTTGGAAAGGACCTTCAAGATCATCAAGTCCAACCATTAGTCCAGCGCCACCATGTTCCCAACAATGAAATCCAGTTTTTAAATAATTCACGTAATTTTTGTGTAGTATTCTAAGAAATAGGTGTATAATTTAATAATTTCAGTCATTACATAACCTGTCATTTCAGCTACAGAAATCAGCAACACG